GCACCAGGATACCATGTACAGAAAGTACTAACAGATCTGAGCTTAAGCACCCAACGATTTGATTCTCTGCTGAACATCCACATGATCTACCAGTCTCAGCCCATCAGCCACAGCTGCCAGGCCTATGGCTTCTTAAAGGCTGTTCTTAACAGGTTGTGAGGGGATGCATTAAATCAGAGGAAGAACGGGAAAGTTGCAGCAATAAAGCAAGTCTTCCATTCAAAAGATACCTTAAATGCAAATAGGAAAGAGAACACAAGAACACAGGTAAAAAGGTTCAAGCAGCCTTGACAAGGGAAGACAACACAAAGAAAAATATCACCCGACTATTACAAAAAACTCCATCCACCAGAACAAAAAGAGGTGTCAATTTTAAGTCAACTAATGATTAGCCAGACTAATGGAAACAGGTCAATCATTGCTGTAAGCAAACAGAGTACCAGAAATCTGAGCAGTGCAGGTAGGGAAAGGATAGACCTCTTTAAGGGCGCAGAAAAAACAGCACAAGCAGTGGTTATGACATTAAAGCTGTTCTTTCTAGAGTTTGTTAGAACATCTCCCAGGGGAACAAATGGCATTCTGTCTTGTGTTCTGGCGGTCATCATGCTGAATTTTATACAAAAACACCAAGTACAATTCACTGTCTGTTCTGTATAAAAAAGTTGTTTTGGTCTACAGATTAACAATTCTCTTGAGACAGTCTCCATTAAAGAGTCTATCCATAATGAAGAAAAACAAATATTTAGTTGGTTCTCCTCAATGGTTTGGGTTATTTTTTTTTTTAACCTTATTATTTCACCACCAGAGTGCCAGCTGGAATTCACAGCCAACATCCTTTGAAATTCATTTCCTTACATTTAGTCCTATCGAGGAAACCACTTTTTGACCAATTACAGACTTCTCTGTATCTACAAAGTCATTTATGAAGGGATACAGTCTCCACGTAAGAGTTGCTGGACTTTTTTTTTTTTTTTTTTTTTTTAAATGAAAGCTGGTCTAGTCTATTAGCAAACAGTATTTTATTCAATACTGAGTCTCCTCACACCACCTCCCAACACACAGATGCCTTTTAGACTAGCTGGCTGACAACTATAAAAACTCCTTCAAGCAGCTCATTTATGAGGAAAACTGGATTAGCAAATTCAGTTCAAAGGAATGTGTCTTTGGACAAGAATCCTGCCTAGTGTAAGAAAACTGTACTCACTGTATAAAAAGCATATATGTCATCATTTGATGACATCAGGTCTGCCAGCACTGCCTTTTACACAACTTGCATTGCCGGCAGCCAAACAAGATCAGTAGGTGTGATTTAGAATTACCCACTGATGTGAAGGCTGAGGTCCAGTCATGTGGATCTCCAGCTCTGGAATTGCAAGGAAGAAGCTGAACCTAGCTGACATCACCCAACACCTATCAGAAGTATGATATTTTGTCACGTTCATATGGGATGACACCTGGGAGATCCACCATCTTTCAATAGGGATTGTGAAATGCTGGTCAGTGGTGTATCTGTTCTGTTCTGCCACTTCTGTGCTTTCTCATACTTAGTTATATACTTCTCATTGGCAAAGGAAAAATCATACACGCAGAAGGTTTGTGAAGTAACTCGTGTTTATGAATAAGTATTTTTGATCGTTAGATTAATCATAGTTTAAAAAAAATCACCACATACTACGATTATTGTATAGTTCACAGATTACATTACAAGGTAAAAACTCACTTTTAAGTCTGCATCAGCTTCCACCCTGGCAGAATAATTTTCATTGAAAATTAAGTGCTCTTTCACGTTTTTTTTTTCCTTCACTTCTGGGAGGACAGGTTTACTGCATGAGAACTCCACACCTCATGTGCTCAGCACTGGGGCAGATGCCAGCACTGGGGGCAGACAGCTTTACCACTATGCCACTGAGCTCTGTGGTATTCTTAGTTGTTTATATAAACTGCACTGATGCAGTAATTCCATCGGCTCTTCCAGTTCAATTACTTTTAAATTCCCTGAAGAGAGACAGCATTCCTGCAACTCACATTAGCACCAGGGCTACTTGTGGCTGTTTCTCCTTGGCTATGTAGATTCAACACCATCAAAAATAATATTGTTGAACTGCATCAAGGGAACAAAATGAAGCAAAAGGCACAGAAAAAACTAAGAGAGATATAAAGAGTCTTGAAGTATGGCAGCAGGACAAAAGAAAACTCCTCACAATAAAAATGGAGCCACTTTCAGCAGCTGCTGGTTACATCAGTCAGCCCCGGGGCAAAACAGGGAAAATGCCAACGTAAGTAAATACAGGATTCAACTAGACATTTGAAGTAGGTAAAGAACTGTGCATACAGATTTTGAAGTCGCTCAACAAGATTTTCCTCTGTCTCTTTTTCCTGTTTTAAAGTTACGATTCCCAAACTTCTACAGCTACTCTGTGGATACCTCCAGCACGTCCTAGCTGCTCCTCCATCCTAACAGAGGCAAAGAGAGCGCGTTACAGAGCTCTCTGCGAGCACCGAGACGGCAACCCCCGCCCGCCC